TTTTTTGGTACTGGGGATTGAACTCGGGTCCTTGCGCTTGCGAGGCAGGCAGCAGAACCACTGAGCTAAGTCCCAGCCCTGTTGTTTGATTTCTTGATGACAGCCATTCTTACTGGAGTACATGGAATCTCAGTGTTCTAATTTGCATGAAAAATCCTTTCTCAAGTTTGACTGCTTTAATGGCAGGGCCAGCCTTGAAACTTGGTCAGACTTGCCCCAGGGGCCAAGGAGGTAAGTTTAGATTCAGACGTAGTGTTGGGATAGAGGAGGGTCCCATGTGCTTTACCTGGGATCAGTAAATACAGGATTAGGAGAACATCCTGATAGGGCTCTCTGGTTCCCTGGACCATAAAAACTTGTGGATGGGGTGGAAGTCCCCTCAACTGTAAGAACTTGGACTTAGCCATGGATGGGAGATCTCAACTCACTTCTTCCTCTCAATGATGATAACTTGTCTGTTCCTCACCTGTTAGAAGGTATTTTAAGGGTGTTTACACCTTGGTCAACTGTTTCCCAGTGCCTGGGTTCTACCAGCCACTGGTCCTTGTTCTATCACTTCTCTATGCATAGAGCCTTTGAGGGGATGAAGTGGGGTTTGAGTGAGCGTGTGTGTGTGTGCGTGCACATGTGTATGGAGATTACTAGATCAGGGCAGCATGGGGTCGACCCCCATTATGTTACAGTAATTTCCCAAAACAGTTTTCCTGATGTTATTACACTTTGCCACTTTTACCTCATGGAAGTAAAGTACTGAGCTGTTAGTAAACCACCAAGAGAGAGATGGGAAAAAATAAGTAAAAATGGTGGTCTGTTCTTGGAGTCCCTTTTCACCTTGACCTTCAGAGCTGTATTTCTGGGTATAATGCAGCATGGACAGCTCCTTCTCCCTTTCCTTACTCCTTCAGTATTGTGGCTCGTTCTGACACTCCAGCTTTCTATACATGCTGAAGTGTCTGTAGTCCTGCCTGATCCCCAGATGGAATCCTCCTCTACCAGATGGGAGTTTTATTAAAGGGTTGATTTATAAAGCTTAAAAAGTCAATTTAGACTGGTTCATTTGGGAATATTTGCTGAATTACAAAGGAAAAGAAGGATATCAAGGCAATGGTTGTATCTTACTGGCATAGGATAGTTCCAGAGATCTACTTCATAGGTTAGTGTGAGGATTAAAGCACTGTGAAGTCTTTTCAGTAGTGGGAGTCACAATGTTTTTAAATTTTTTTTTTTCATTTTTCTTATGCTGGTAATGGATCTCAAGCCCTCATGCATGCTAAGCAAGTGCTCTGCCACTGAGGTACACCCCTAGACGTCAGTTAAAATATTCATGTCTAATGTGATTATAATTGAGAGGACATCTTCATATGTACCTGAAATTTAGAATCAGAAATTGCTAGTTCTATCTAGTGTGTTGATTTGTGTTTAGATTAAAAAATTTTAATTCACAGTCCAATTGAATAATCATTTACCTCGACATGGCAAACCTATAAAAGAGCTAAACCTTCCCTTGTACAGAGACCTAAGCCCTGAGGATGTAGGGTGGTGAGGCAGAAGGGATAGCACGTGGGAGTTGGGGTGAGGACCCAGCGGTAGCAGAGGAGGAGCAAGCTGGGCTGGTTACGTTGTGCAGATAAGTGAGGAAAATAAGCAAATACATGTCTGAGAGGAAATCTACCCATCCGGAAAGGGAAAGGCCAGAAAGAAACTGAAGTGTGGATGGCAAAGGTAGGTCTATTGGTTAATTCACAGATTTTACTTACATAGATGTGGAAATACTAGGATGGTTGCTTTTATGTATGTGCGCGTATTTCCTAAGTCTGTCTAATGAAAAGACTGAGAAGGATTTCCAGTCCCTTAGCTGTGAGCACATGGCCCGGGTCTTGGTTTCTCAGCGCTGCTCCCCACTAAGAGGACCAAGGGCTCCTGTGGACAAACAGTTGATTCTAGTCCTCGGGTGTGGATAGAGCATAAGCTTGAGTGCCTTATTCCACTAGGGGTACGGAATTGCTTAGGGAATTGGGACATTTCAAGAGAGAAGCCAGAGGGGCTCTGGTCAGACAAATACACAGATTATAGATACTTTTTTTTTTGGTACCGAGGATAGAACTCAGGACCTTGCACTTGTGAGGCAGGCGCCAGAACCATTGAGCTAAATGCCTGGCCCTATAGATACTTTTTTTAGCTCTTTTTGTTTAAAACCCCTGCGAATAGATTTTTTTCCCTTTTTCAATCTACATTTATCAGACTCGCCATCCCCCTGGAAAAAAGTACTCCTCTACCTTTTCCTACTCCTAAGACCCTTGGTAGCCCTTTTTATGGTAGGGAGGAGAGAGGAGAAATTTCAGTAATGATTTTCTCTCTCAGCTCCTCCACAGTTTAGCATCAGCAGTTTTTCGGGATTAATGTAGTTATTTTCCAGTCTAGTTAAAGGAAATGTCCAGAAGCCTGGTGTTGCTGATTCATCAGTTGCCGTGGTAATTTTGGCAACCTTCCCTGCACCTACTGTACGGCTCCAAGGTAGCCTCTTGACAGATATTGGCAGGCCAAGTCTCCTGGGTTTCAGAAATGTGATTTGTCTCTCCAGATATCAAAGATGTTATTTGTAGGTGAGATTTTTCTCTCACTTTTCAGGGAAGAATTGTCAAAAATGGACACTCAGGTTCATCAGTTTGCAAAAAAAACAAAAACAAAAACAAACCCAGAAAAGAAAAATTTCAGATGCTTCCTGATTAGATTGTGAGAGCCTGGGTCAAGTTGGTTGTTGCAAAAATTTTCTCAGAAATTTTATGACCCATTTTTTAAAATCTAAGATTTAATAATGTGAGACACGAAGGTGGGAAGTTTTCTGTTGCATAGAATTACTCATTGTGTTAGAAAATGTCAAAAGTATAGAATCTCTGATTATGGTGGTTAATGGTCCTCTATTAACTATCTTTTTTTTTTTTTTGTACCAGGGATCGAACTTGGGTCCTTGTGCCTGCACAGCAGGCGGCGAAACCACTGAGCTAAATCCCCTGCGCTCTGTTAACTATTTTACTATCATTCTTTGTTCAAAGAATTGGGCTATTTTGACATGTATAAAAAAATTCCAACAAATTTAATTATAGTTACCCATGTCCATGAAGAAATTCATGAGAACTTGAAGTGTATTTTTGTTTCTTACCTGTTTTCAGACACGGAATCGATTTGAAGGAACAAGGTCGGAAGTGGAGGAGCTTATGAACAAAATCAGGCAGAATCCCAAGGACCACAAACGAGCAAGTCAGTTCACAGTAGAAGGCTACCTGTACGTCCAGGAAAAAAGTAAGAGGCCCTCAGATGCTATGGACAGCCGGCTGCAGATCCACCCGGCATCAGCACTCAGTCCTTGCAGGTTCCATGTCTGGTTTCCCCTGGATTGAAAATGTTGAGCCAGAAACAAAAAGCACAAATCGCTGTATTGGTTCTGGACTTGTACGGGCTTTTTTTTCTTTTTCCCCTAAGCCATAAGCTATAACTATTTCCATAGCATTACCATTGCATTAGGTCTTTTAAATAATGCAGAGACTATTTAAACTGTATAGGAGGATATATATCAGTTATATGCAAATATGCTGCCATTTTATCTGAGGGACCTGGGACTCCAAGGAGTTTGGTATTGGGGGTGAGTCTTGGGACTCATCCTCCACACATGGGATGGCTCTTTGCCCTTCTCCTTTGCTTTCTTTCCTCCTCCCCACCTCCTTCCCTCCCTCTCCCCTTTCTTCCTCTTTTTCTTCTTCCCACCTTTGTTTTCCTTTTTTTTTTTTGGCAGTACCAGGTTGCATTGCAGCCCTTTTAATTTTTTACCTTTTTTTGAGTCAAGGCCAAGCTGGCTTGAATTTATAAGACTCCAGCCTCCCAAGTAGCTGGGATCCCAGGCGTGTGGCACCTTGCTTGGCTTTTGCTGTTTTTATTGTAATTACTAGGGCATTGTTGGACAGGGTCCCTACTGTGTCTTTGCTCCCTCCTACTGTGGAAGACACATTTTGCTGTGTTGAGGGCAGCACATTCCTACTCTGCGGAGGACGCAGCCAGAGGAGGGAGGGTTGTGAGTGCCCCGCTGTCCAGTGGTCCCAGCATGCTTTGCTCCACACTGTGCCCCTCAATAACTTGTTCACAAGGAAGTTGCCCTAGAAGTATGCAGAGTTGGAATGGGGTTGTCTTTTTCATCTTGTCCTGATCACTAGTGCACATACACACATGCGTGCATGCACACGCACGCCCTCTTCTGTGTCCAAACTGTGGCTTGCCTTATGTTAAGGTCAAGACGGTTATATTTCTCTTCTTCCTTGACACCATTTTTATCCATACTGATCTTGCATAGTTCTTGCCAAAATTGGCAGGAAGATTATAGATGGCTATAAAAAATAGTCTTGCAGAGCATCATAACTTAATTTATAGGTGTGCTTTTTTTTTTTTTTTGGTATTGTTGTTCTCCTAGTCCATTTTTGTTGCTATAACAAAATACCTGAGGCTGAATACAAAGTTTATTTGGCCTATGGTTCTGGTGACTGGAAAAGGCCCCCTTCACAATGAAGAAATGGGCAAAAGGCTGCATGCAGAAGGGACCTGCAGTCAGAGACGCAACCCTGTGTGAGCGACATTAGTCCTTTCCAGCAGTGGGGGCCTGTGGCACCGGCATTCCTTAAGGGGCCCATCGCCTCAGTGTGGGGAACAAACTCCCTCACATGAATCTTTTTGGGAGCCACTTTCTTCAAACTGTAGCCGCGGCTGTCTTGTGGTGCTGCACACAGGGTATCCTTACATAAAATATTAAAAAGCCCCAATCTTTTGAAAGTTTTAAGAATTTGGTCTCATTCGAACAGCTGGGCTCTTCTAGTTTAATTCTTCCACTGTAGAAGCCAGTCGTCAGTTTGTAGGGCGAGAACGTGAAGTGAGTGTATTTGTAACTCATCTCTCCCTTCTCACTCTTAGTTGTACTTGGAGACAGTCTTCATCTCATTTCTTAAGTGCAGGCGATTTATGGAACTTTTCCACTGACCAGCTTAGTGTAGAGAGCACTTCGGGAGTAGGGACCGATCTTGTGTGGAGCTGAGGTTATGTACAGTTGACAGGATGGTTGGCTTTATTTTTGTTTCTCAAGATCACTTCTGTCAGCGGTGGTGAACCTATGGGCATGCGTACCACAGCGGGCTGTTTGTATCACTGACTTACGTAATCTCAGTCTTATAATCTTCACCATCTTAATCCCCATTTTAAAAATTAAATGTGGGAGAAACAAAATCCAGAATAGAGTCATGAGAATGTTAAAATTCTTTAAATTATTTTTTGAGGCACTGTGCAGTCCTGACTGGCCTCAGACTTGTTGTGTAGCCCAGGCTGGCCTGGAACTCAAAATCTGCCTGCCTCAGCCCCCCAAATGCTGGGTTTATGGGCATGTACCATCAGACCCCACTAGAATTCTTTGTATGTGATATGTCCAAGTGATTGATGACTCTTGCTTAAATTACTGGTTTTGAGAGAAACTGGTTTTAAACTATACTGGGAGCAAATAACAAAGCAATAGTAGCTAAATATTTTTCTCATTCATGGCAAGCCAGGCACTGTGCTGTACTCTTTATATCCTTGTCTCACTGGATTCCTAAAACAGTGCTGTGAAGTGAAGGTATGGTTATCACCCATGCATCTGAGAGGAAATGGAGGCACTGAGAGGTCGTGCTGTTTCTAGATTACACAGCCACTGAGTCCTCGAATTGTGGATCTGAGCGGGACGGGACGTCTGTGCTGCCCCCTGTCCTGTAAGCGGCCAGGTGCTCGGTCAGGTGGGTGAGAGGCTCGTGAGCCACTGAGCTGAGAGTTGCTGGGGCTGGGTCTTGTGGCTGAGCGGAGCCCCCCGTGGCTTAATTAGCACGAAGACCTCGATGCTTGGGTCTAGAAACCCTGAGCTGAAATGTGGCTTTGTTATCTCTTAGGTATTTCAGCTAAGCTTAAATTTCTTTAGATTAAAAAATAACAGTATACCCGCCTCTTCTTGAGGTTTTCTAAAGTTAAATCAACTACCTGAACAGTGCTTTTGAGAACCAAAGAACATAGTACTAGTATTAGTTATTTATAACAGGAAGTTCCATGGTCCCCAAACTCGGGTCTTAAACTAGTCATGGTCTGAGATGAAATCTGCTGTGATCTGTAACCCCTTCATCTCTTTTTTCTCTCCCAGCACAACCTGATTAACTCTCTCTAGACAGTTAATGGGTTCTTTTTTGTTTCTCTTTCCCTCCCCAGTTTGTCACTTGTGTTTTTCAGGTATAGAAGGTTTGTTGATGGCATAGGAAAATTACGGCGATAATAAATGTTACTTCTTCTTAAAAAATGGCTTCACATGGGCTGGGGATTTAGCTCCGTGGTTCCACTGCCTGCCTTGCAAGTGCAAGGACCCGAGTTCAGTCCCTGGTACCAAAAAAAAAAAAAGGTTTCATTTGGTGAAAGAAGAAAGGACCCACCTCTGTTGAGTCTAGTCTGTGACTTGTGATAATTAGACTTTTTTCTATAGGTGCTGGGAATTGAATCCAGGGTCTTGCACATGCTAAGCAAGTGCTGGCTCCACTGCTGAGCTGTATGCTGGGCCCTCATGGCTGGACTTTGACTGCATGTCGGGCATCCCAAGGTGTTGGGCATCCCTGCCAGAGGCCACTGTCCTCTAAGATCTGACTATGGGGAGAGTGATTTACCAAGAAGAGAGCGAAGGGGTTCTGACAATGTTCTGGTGCATGTAGGGACGGCTCACCCCTGTTTAAGTCTTACATTCTTTTTTTTCATATTTTCTCTCTTCCCCTCTCCCCTCTCCCTCCCCTCCCCATCCCTCCTCTCTCCTCTCTGATTCTTAATTGATCTAACTCTTTGTCTCTCTGACTCTCACAGTGCTAGGTGTTCACGCAGGCGCCGGAACCAATGAGCTAAATCCCTGGCCCGGTGCTAGGTATTCAAACTGAGGACCTTGTGCACAATGAAGCAAGCACTGAGTCCAGGCTACACCCTTGGCCAACATATTTCATTTCTAAAGCTTTGCTTTCCACAGCTGCTTACCAAGGTGCTATTAGCAGGTTGAAAGCCCTAGGTAGGTTTCTATACAAGATGCTTCTCAACATCGTGATTTTACAGTTCTGTGATTTTGCAAAGGCAGAACTGAATATTGAATCATCTCATACATTGAATGGAACTTTGGAAACTTGTGAACTCATGATGCCTAGAAGCAAACAAAAAATAGAGCTTACAATTAGGAGATTTTCACCCATGAGATAACTGTTGGTTTTTCTAGTGTAGTTTTAAAATATATGTCTTTAAGTCACTTTTTTGTTGCTAAAAATATGGTAAAATCGTGTCTCAATTGATCTCGAAGGATCATCTTATTTCCCCCAGTGTCCCCTTCTGTTAGGTCCAACATTGTGGTTGATCTGTTTGTTACTGTGTTAGGGGGCTTTTTCTTCTGTGTTTGGAGCTCTGCATGTCCACTTATTGGTGAGGAAAAATGCAAAGTTCTGTTTTTTGTTAAGGGCCAGCTCCATTTGGTTCCAGTTGGGTGAAACACTACTGCATGTACCGGAAAGGGGCCAAGAAGTTCAACATTATCCCGTTTGAGCACAGATCTGGGGGGAAACTTGTAAGTGTTTGCTTTTACTCTCTATATCTAGGTGAGAGAGATTCTTTGGGGTTGTCATTTTAATGGTTTATACTCAATAATAAGAAGTTGTAATTTTTTAAGGATTGAAATCTTTGTTTTCTTCTATTCCTAAATATGTAAGACAACAGAATAATTCTTAGATTTTTTTTAATTGCATGCATGGGTCTTTATGTTGTTTAAAAAAGGTAACAGTGGAAACCTTTTATGTCACTTTGTAAGGTAAATATTCCACCTTCAGTAAGCTTTTGTGACTCATAATAAGCTTTAAGTGCTTTCCTGCAAATTAGGCAGGAAGTCTGACTTGAGCATACATTGTTCATACCTTGACCTATAATGAATTTTGCTTTCACTCAGATAGACAGAGTTCTTATGTAGGCATTCTCCATTCAGTTAACTACTCTTCTCAAAGAAATAAACAGCAAAGTGAAGCATGATGGTAAGAAGAGAGCAACAAGACCCCAGGAATTGGCTGGCAGGAAAGATAGTCTTCATATGTGTTTGAAATAGAAGTTACGGCTCTTAACAGTGATTGACGGTCAGAGGATAGCTCTTCTTAATAGTAATGATCATAGCTAGATAAACACAGAAATAAGCTCACTTCTCTGTATTCGTTGCTCCTTCCTGAAAAATACTTAAAGTGGGATGTAGTAAGAACACACTGAAGTGATGATGAAATGCTCTTAAAAACAGGGTCATGGAGAACGCACAAAGCCAGGATAGCACTAAGCCCAGGCTGGTTAACGTGGAGCACTGAGTCTTGGTTTGCTGTCACAGTGAGTTTAAGTTCTGAGCTGTTTCTAGGTAGTGAAATCATTTTCTTTTAGTCTCCAAATGCTAAAAAAACTACATGCTGTGATATTTTGTATATAGCTATGATTTCTGAAGATTTGTATACTTGTTTACAATATGAGAGATCCTGATAGTGTAGAAAATATTAAAATGTTCTAGAAGTGTATACTTAGATTCCTTAGAGTTATTTACTGAGTACCTCTCTGCCTGAATTGCTTGTCTCCTATCTTCATATTCTTATGCTCCTAAAGGAGATGGTTTAGTCCAGTAAAGTAGTAAAACAAAACTTAAATTCAGAGTGATTGATTTAGGAAAGAGAAAAACTGTGCAGATTGTAGGTTTAGATGATCATAACACCTGATCAAAAGCTCTTAGTGTACTTCCAGGTTGATCCGAATTCATATGGAGCTGCAAATTTTTCTGTTTTTTGGTACCAGGGATCAAACTCGGATCCTTGTGCTTGCGCAGCAGGCGGCAAAACCACTGAGCTAAATTCCCAGGCCCGCCAATTTTTTTTCTTAAGGAGAAATATTCCTGCTATGTTGCCTAGGTTGGCCTTGAACTCCTGGGCTCAAGCAATGCTCAGTCTCCGTAGTAGCTGGGACTGTAGGTACCTTCCACCATTCCTGGCTGAACTGCAATTGTTACAGTCCGAAAATGGCCATATATTGACCGTGACATATGGTGTGATGTGTAATATAAACTAAAACCAAATTTTCACTCTTTTAAAAAAGTACAAGAGTAACATATCCTAGCAAGTTGAAACTGCACTGCAGATTTACCTTTTAAACTTGGCATTGGTGAGGTCTGGCTTAATACTATTACAGTCAGAGAGTTAGAAAACATTAAAAGCAGGAGAATGACCAAAAATGATTAAGACTTAGATTTTAAAAAATGTTTAAATAAGGTAGTTTGAAAGAAAATAGGATAAAGAGAAAGAACTTGAAAGAAAATTGGATAAAGAGAAAAGTCTTAAAATCTCGATTTGGGGCTCCCCCGGGAGAGGTGGCTCAGCGTGTAAATGTTTACACTGCATTTCTGAGGACTTTAAGGTTATTTTCTTCTTTTCAGGGGGATGGAGAGGTGTTCTTTTTGAAAGAATGTACCAAAAGGCACACGGACTCCATCGACAGAAGGTTTTGTTTTGACATAGAAGCTGCTGACCGGTAAGTTATTAGAATTATTGGCTATGGTGAAAGAATCAGTTTAAAATACGATTAACAGAGAGTTGACTGTGATTTCCATGGTCTGGAAGGATGTCGTCTCATCACTCTTCGATTTGAAGCTGTGACTTCCTTGTGCAGTACAGTCTTGGTTGCTGTGTAGAAGTGGAATGTCAGCATCATCATGACTGATAGGTCTTTTTGTCGCGTACAGAGTAACCTCAGATCGTTTCAGTGTTGATCAGAGGAGTCTAATTTGTGGCAAGAGAAGCACAAGAAGGCACAGGGAGCAAGTGGCTGGGACAGGGAGGAAATGGGTGGTAGAGCTAAGGAGGAGCAGAAGTAGCAGTGACAGAACCATATCCATTGAGGGGTGCGTTTTCAGTGTGTGTGCTCTATGTGTGTGTGATGGAGGGTCTGTTTATTCCAAGACTAGTTATTTCTTCTCATTGGTTGACTTTGATTTACTTATAAAAGAATCTGTCAGAGAGGAGGCAGTAAAAGAAGAAAGTTCATCCATCAATATCATTGGTGTTATTTCTGTGTTCTTCAGTAGCATTCAGGAAATCGTGGTACTCCTAGAACATTTCTTTTTTAGTCAGGCAGGAGAGTGATTCCTTGCCAGCCCTGGTTTCGGCAGCAGTTATTAGATCAGGCTTTTTCATGTTTGCATAATAAAAGCTTATAAAATGAGATTTTTAGAAGAAAACATCAGTTCAGTTCAGAATCCAGGAAGACAAAAATAATTAAAGCTGCTTTTAGATGTGACAGCTGAGCTGGACCAAGGAGGAGATATCTGGGCTAAGAAGGAACTAAAAGAATTGATGACCAGGTACATAAAAAGGTGGTTTCAAGAACCAGGCTCAATGTGGACTACCAGGAAAAAGATAAATAGGTAAATATGCATCTTATCGAGGTTGAGAGAGTACAGTGGTACTTGGGTAATCATCCTTAGTTGGTTCCAGAGCTATACAACAAATACCAGGCAAAGAGCCACAGAGCAGTGGACTGTGGCAAGTTCTAGCTTATGCAGGCAAAGGACGGATACCAGGACAAAATGTTTGCATCAAAATGTGCAGAGTTTCACAGCAGTTGAATACCAAGATAGGACTATATTAAGAGGTTCATATTGAAGTCAATAAGAACTTGTTCAAAAACCGGAAGAAGAGCTTCAGTCAGCATTACACAAACTGAGCATAGGCCTGCAGGTTAGAATGTGCTAGTTTGTGCAGTTCGGTATTTTGAATTGCTTTAAAATCTCTAGCTCTTTGAATGGCTGCCTTCAGCCAGCATACAAATGCTCTTATTTAACCCATCTTTTAAAAATACTAAAGAATATTACTACCACCATCACCAATGAAACAACCCTTTCTTTTCCCATTACCCCTCTTCTCTCCCATTAACAGCAAAAATTCTTAAAAATGCTGTCATATTTAGTATCTCAAATTTCTTCTCTCTTACTCTCTTTTGAGCTGCCTTTTCAGTCCTGTGCCTCTACCTCTCCACCGAAGGTTTTCAGTGGACTCTGTTCCATGTCTGGTGCTGAATTCTCATGTTCTTTGCTAGAGCACTGTATCCCGTGGCCCATGACTTTCTCCACCATGATAATCTTGGTTCAAGGACATGTACTGCTTTCTCTCCTAGCTAGCTTTTTCAGTTTTTTACATTCCTTCACCAGTTCCTCCTTTCTCAGACCTTTTGATTTTGGAGCTCTGACCTTAGTCCTAAGATCTCTTTTTTCTTTAACCACATTCTCTTATGATCTTGTCCAGCTCCATAATTTTAAGGGCCATCTGTATATTGATAACTCTCAAAGATTTATTATCTCTTACCTGAATTCCAGATTCTTTATATTCAGTTGCCTACTGGGATGTCTAATAAGCATTTCAAACAGTGCAAAAACTAGGGGTGTATTGATTTGGCGTTTGTAAAATTTTCAAGAAAAAAATTTTTTGGGGGGTGCTTAGGGGTTTACTCAGGGCCTCATGAGTTCTGTGTAACTGTTCTACCATTGAACTATATCCCCAGAACCCATTAATTTTTCTGGGGGGGATAGACTATGAGATCCCACATCTTATATAGGTATACAGATTTAATATTATTTAAAACTATCATACATTTTAAAACAATATGTGCTTAGTGTTTCACCTTTTTCTAAAGCCCTTGTGTTAGCTTAAATTATTCATAATATAGTATTCGAAATATATTTTCTTTGTGACTTCTTTAGTCTTCACAATCAAGCTACTTCTTAAAAATTTCTGAGGCTTACTGTTTATTGCTTTTGGTTTAATCCCTAATTTCTGAGCAGCAAAACATCTACTTCTGTTTGCTGTTACCAGTGGGGAGTGTTTGGGACCCTTGGTGGGCAGGGCCACCTCCACTGTGGGTGTTTTGCCCACCTGTGCAGCCCTGGTGCCTACCAGGGTGGGGGGAGTGTATATCAAGCTATAATTCTGGAGCTTTGAAGGCCTCAATTAGTGGGAAGTTTGAGATCAGCTCTTTTCTTGCCTGTTTCCCTCATTCCTGGCCAAGTAGACCACTAGGAATTATAAGTAATTTGTTCTTTGTCTATTAGATTATGAATTCCAAGAAGGGGAAGAATCCTGTCTGATTTAGCACTGCTTGCTTCTGCAGTACCAGATGTAATGCTTTATTTATGGTGGACATTCTCACCACATTTGTCCTGGATTAAATGAAATTGAATTGTTGCTCACAAGTGACAGAACTGGGATTAGATTCAATCAAGCAAGTGTCAGTCATTGTCCTTTTGTTCTCCACTGCATTGCTGTAGCAGGAGCTCTGGTGTTTTCTTTCCACTTAGAGAAAAATACATTTAACCCGTTTTTGAGCGTTGGGTTTTGTAAATGGGTTTCTGATGGGAGTTTATACAGTGTTGCTATTGGGACCTTTTGTGTAGCAATTTCACAGTTGATTGCATAGGTTTAATATAAAGAAACGTTGCCTTTTTGCCAAGTATCATTTTTGCTATTTTTTTCTTATGAAGGGAGAGCAGCCGAGTAGCACTGTGATAGTAGGTGATATTTAATATGGGACAGAGTGGCTCCTGGGCTTGTATTTGATCTGGGCATATTTCACTAAATAGTGGCACTGGTTTGGATCGGGTTGGGTTGTATGTGACAGAAAAAGTCAGTGTGCCGTAAACAGTGTTAAAGTTTATTTTTTCACTCATTTGGGAAGCCAGAGCCAGAGATCAGGCTGTTGGTGTCAGGTTTTGCTTTCTCTTGGGAGTGGTTCACCTTCCTAGGTATTTCAGGTCCAAGATGCCTGCTCCTGTTTATCATAGAGCTCTGCCTGACTTTTGTCATAGGAACACTTCCCAGACATTGTGCACATGACTTTCGCCTGTACATTGTTGCTCTGAACAGTGTCATATACGGTTACACCTCATTGCAAGGGAGGCTTTTAAATCCTTAGGTTAGGAAATTGCTGTCATATTTCCAGCATCCATGGCCTAATCTAATTCTTAGGAAATTTATTCCTGAGAACAATCTGGGTTTGGGCTGGGATTACCAAGTTGTTACTGTCTTAGTTTGTTGGATGGATGTGTGCTTCATTTTATTCTCCCTCACTTCACTGAAGGGTTACTTTGGATATTTCTTTAGCTAAGAGATAGTATTTAAAAACATGGTCTAAGAACACTATTAAAAGAGCAAGAAAAAGAAGACAAAAACAAAAAAACCAAACCAGCCTGCAGAATGGGAGAAAATACTTGCAAATCGTAAGTCTGATAAGGGACTTATTTACAGAATATGTAAAGAACTTTGTAACAATAATAAAAATACATGAATTTATGTAAGCAGAAGATAGGAATTAGGAATTTCTCCAAAGAAACTATGCAAGTGGTGAATAAAAATATGAAAAGATATTTAACGCCATAGCCATTAAGGAGATGTGAATCAAAACAATGATAAGACACCACTTCATACTCACTAGGACAGCTGCATGTAAAAACTCAGACGTTAACAAGTTTTGGCAAAGATGTGGAAAAGTTGGATCTCTTAAACATGGAGGGTGGGAATTTAAAATGGTATAGCTACTTTGGAAAGCAGTTTGGCAGTTCTTCAAAAGGTTAAACATAACTGCCATCTGATCCAGAAATTTTACTCCTAGCTATATATATGAGAAGTAAAAACATATGTCTATGCCAAAACATGTCTATGAATATTCATAGACGCATTATTTATAATAGCCAAGAGGTAGGAACAACTTGAATGTCTATATGCTCATGAATGGTCAAGTAAAATATTATGTATCTGTATAATGAAAAATTGCTGTAGCAATTGAAAGGAAGAACTAGTGCATCCTGCAGTATGATTGAACCCTGAAAACAGTGGAAGAAGCCAGTCATAGAAGACTGCATATTAGAGGGTTCTATTTATGCATATCAAACCTATGTCTGGGGGTTTTGGGAAATGGAGAACACTGGCTAATGAATATGGGTTTTTCCACCCCTAGGATGGTAAAAATGTCTTCAAATTGATTTTGGTGATGGTTACTCAAGTTTGTGAATACATGATAAACTGTTGAATTGTGCAATTTAAATGAGTTAATTTTACACTATGAATTATGTCTCAAAGATTTTTTTTTCCACCAAAAGGAGTACAGCTGCAAATAAATACCAAAATAAGACAAAAAAGGGTCTTTTTTTTTTTTTTTTGGTACCGAGGATCGAACTTGGGTCCTTGTGCTTGCGCAGCAGGCAGCGAAACCACTGAGCTAAATCCCTAGCCCCAAAAAGGGTCTTAATGACTCTAAATGTTCACTGCAGGTCCCACAGGCTGTGAGGAATCTTGTCCCTCCTTTTCGGTTGGAGAAATGGTATAGGTCGTGTAGTTGCCCGGGCCGTGGCGTGCTGGTCTGTTACAGGCTTCCTGTGCCTCAGCAGGGTGGTTATGTAACATGGCCTCTGCTGCATTGGCATGCTCGCCACGTGCCACTTTGTGCTGTAACCCCACACATTTGCTCGATAAATAATTGCCCTT